CATGATGCTAGCTCTATACCAATACTAACTTCTATATTTTCGAAACCAATCAGTCTTAACGATAGATCATCATTCTCTCCTGGTTTGCCAGTAATTTTGATCTGTTTATTAGATACAAACTCAAAACCAGCTGATATGTCAATATTCTTGCCTTTTGATAAAGTTGATTGAAATGTAGCAATTTTTGTGATGTTTTGGCCCATGTCATCATAAAGTGTTATTGGCAGTGAGTATTTCCTCCCTGGTATAATGGAGAGAGGTGTTGGTTGACTGACGGTAAATACTGAACCTCCTGATGCAATCACATTGCTATAATTAGTAAAATCAAATACCCCAAAACAAGTTTGATTAATGAATGATTCATTCGATTTACTGTTGCATGCTGATTGGCATGGTTTAGTACTTGTCATATATATTGAATTTGCTATTCCAGTGTGAGACCAATTGTCTATAAAAATAAACTTTGCATTAGGATGCTTGGTTTTGTTCTGAAGAAAGCACAAATGAGATGATAGCGAAATGTGTGGTCTGATAGCTGTAACATATATAGCTCCACCAACAATGCTAGCTGAGTTATTAGTAAATTCAAACTTTGTGTCATTATTGTACTGAATATTAGAGTATCCTACTAGACCAATAGCTCCACCATAAGTACCTGTATTATTGTTAAAAAAAGTCACTGCTCCTGTTTGAAAGCATGCTGATCCTGAAAAAATATACAATGCTGTGCCCTTGTTGTCATTAAATGAATTAGTGCCTTTAAAATAAACTGTTAGCTTAGTAATAACAAATGCTCCAATTCCTTCACTAAAAGTGTAGAAAGATGTTTTTGTATAATTATACTGCTTCATAATGGCATTGTTAGCAAATTTGCAATCCTCAAAAATTGTTTTAGTAGTGAATTCAGTAAAGTACTGGCTTTTATAATTTGGCTCAATCTCAATTGCTGTACCATTATTACTGTCCCAAATGCTGTTAATAAAATGAACATAATTGTAAAATTTTATTGGTTCATCATGACTCAGTGCATTACAATAAATCAGAACTCCACTGGCATAGTTTCCAACATTATTAGAAAAAGTTGTCCCAACAACTGTTATATTATTGTCAGCTGAAACATAACTAGAATTACGATGAGCAATTCCTATTGCCATTCCAGCTCCACCAAAATCCAGATTCTCATTAGAAAATAAATTTTTTGAAAAATCACAATTTTCAAGATTTATTATATTGCCTTGACAGAAATGCCCACAATGCCAAATCATTCCACCTCCAACAATCGCTTTGTTACGAGTAAAGTTAGTCCCTTTTATACTGAAAACATTTCCTTTAACATTCCATATTAAAAATATTCCAAGTCCACCTCCATAACTAAATGACCAATCGTCCCTATTTAATTCTGTGAGGTTAACTGTATTGTTATTAAACAGTGTGCCTTGTATTGTATAGTTACCTGATGCTGATGTATTGTGCATGCAATTATCAGCAGTGATCTCACAAGCTGATATCAGTATCACTAGACCAGCCCCTCCATGTACATGTACTATGCTATAATTTGAGCCATTTTGTTGCAAAGCATATGGTATTGAATTGTTTGAAAAAACTGACCCTTCTATTGTAATATCACCAGCTGCATTGATTAATAATAAACCAGTACCAATGTTGTTACTAATAGACACATTGCTTAATAGCATATTAGTGGTTGTATTTACTATGATACCAGAGCGATAATAATGCCTCTTTGATACACCTATCATATGCTGCATAGAACATCCAGATACATTCAAATCATTGAAGGTCACATCTTGACAATCCTTAATAATTAGACCACAATTATATAAAGGACAGACACAATTAATAACTGCTGCCTTTTCCTTTTCATTGTTGTTGGCAGATGAAGAAGTGAAAGTCAAGTTATGAATTGAGTGTATTTCAATGACACGGTCCAATACAATGCTTCCCTCTATAATGACAACTGTATCATTCTCCCATTGAGTGATGTCAGAGAGAGACAAGCAGGGAGAGTGAATAGAACCACATGAAGCTTCACTGGATCCATTGGATGAAATGTATATCTCATTTGAAGCAAACCTTTGAATCAATAATAATAAGAACAAGAGGAGTAAGACACTCTTCATCATTCCTTCAGCCACTTGTTACAATGCAAATGCTTTGCTTTTGTTTTACTCCTTTTTATCATACTGAAAACGAATAAACTTAATTACAAAGTTTTCCCTTAATGAATATACACTTCACAAAACAAATTTTGTCATTATAAATAATTGTAAGACCATAGAGAATACAAAAATAATGCGTGAAAGTGACGCACTAGAATAAACATATTTCCAAATCAAACTAATGATTAGTTGATTACAGTAGAATAATTGTATCAAGCATATGTTAGGTCACTGTAAAGTAAAAATGCAGGGACTTTAAACCTAAATTAACTAGTACTTGCCCATACACATAGTGAGTCTCTACATTATGCACATTTTTTGGTAACACATAATAGTCAAAACAAATATGAATATTTACTGACCATTTCTCAAATGTGACACAACGATGAAATTTGAAACAAGACAACTCTGATGCTAGCACCTTCAGCAAAAAACTTATCTATAATACAAAAGATAAGAAGGAAATAAATTATGATTACAGATTTGCAGTTCAATAACATTAAAACTGAAATTGAAATAATACAATGGATGATAAGCGATTAGACATAATATTTACAGTTTGAGAAATAATGCTACACACTTGAGACAAACTGTCATCATACATCTCTTGACTTCACTTAATCACTAACACTTTAAGGGTCATTTAGGGGTCAAACTACCTGGGTATAATGGGAGTTTTATGCTTAAAATAATCCAAACCTGCTAGACTACCTCAAAATTATCTGCTGTTGTTGGTCCATCACATTCATTGATACAAGTTGCTTAAGGATAATTAACTGGTTATATACTCTAATTGTGCCTGGCTGTGAATATTAATAAATGACCATATAAAATAGAGAAGGGTGAGAAAGAGAGTGAAGACTAAGGAAAGAGTATGATAGTGACAATAAAAATACTGTTGGAACAAATATTTTTTGTATCAATAACTTAGAAGTGATCAGTTCAAACCTTTTGCTATGAGTGTCAATCTAAAAGCAATTATCACTTGCAAGTCTGCAATAGTGTAGTTACATGTATCAGTATTACCAGGATTACTTACTTGTATGCTGTAGATTACCTACTGGTTTAGTAAAAACAAAAAATCGACCATTTTGAATTTCATGTTTTTAGTTAAAATATTATAACCAAAAGCTAATTTTGTTATTATTAGCATAATACTCCTGGATTTTGTAGCTTTTTTGCTAACAGTTATAACTAATAAAAAATAGCAAAGTCACATAAATTTAAATTATTAAGAACACAAAACTCAATAAATTGGAACATTAATTTTCACCCTAAGTAATAAAGTCACACAGTACAATTAAAAGTAGCAAATTATTATCAATAAAGCTCTAGCCTATTCTCTGTGACGGCTGATGTTAATGCTTAAGTTTGTTCCTCCAACCTTAAACCACTCATTTATTGTGTCAGCATCAGTTGCTTCATTAAAAATATAAACATACAAACTGATGGAGGGGAATGATTTCTTAAGCACTTGGGCACTTCTTTCTTTCAACTCAACAGTGTCAATTGTTTGCATTGATATCTAATAATGAGTAGCAGTTATAAAACACTATATAGTCTACAAGTATAACTAACTGTGTCTGGCATTTCTTCGCTATCGTTTGGTGATACTATCCATCCTGAGAACTCTTTTGTATCTTTAAAGCAAGTTAGATCAAGAGAGAGCATGGAAGAATCAAAAACAAATGGATAGTATGAGCCTTTAATATCCCATTCGCCCTAAAATGCACGCACAAAATATATACAAAATATATACAATAAGTCCTGCACATCACCCCAAAGGGGCAAAAAGAGGGAAGGGTTGGTAATATTGTATGGGCCACACCCCCTAAGCTTGCGGTTGCAAATGGTGGTCAAACTGAACCCAAGGCTTAAACACTAGTTCAACGATGTGAAGCTAGTGGCCAGTTCATGAAGCAAGCTGGCCCACCCTGGCTGCAATGTATGCCTGGCACCTAAACAAGTGCCGCCAAAATCTAACTCTTACCAGCTGAACCAACTAAGGGGTCCAACTCAGGGTGGGCCATATTTGCCATGAGCAACTGAATACTCTCTGCATGAGAGCGCCAATAGTTAAGCTGTGTTAACTATGCCACTTGGGTCAGGCAATTACCCACCATGCC